ACCCATGTTCAAGCAAAGTGTTCTGATGCCTCTGCATCAGCTCTGTTTGGACAGCATCTCCTAGCTGATAGTGCTGGGGTTCTGTCTGCCTGTCTCCAACACTCTGGGCCCCCAGCTACCATCACCATCTAGGAATCCCGATCAGTTCAAGCTTCACAGAGTGGTGACATCTCTCCATCCTCTCTCTCTAGGTATAGCCTCCTGACCTTGCCTTACGAGCAGCTATGGTTTGCTAGACCTAAAGTTTGTAATCAACTTTGTAATCAACTTGAATCAGATTCAAGTGAGTTGTAATGTTGTAACTGTTTTATTTGTCTGGCTCCCCTTGCATGGTTACTACCTAGAAATAAATAACTTTTACAGTTAAGCTGGTTTCTTTTCTCTCTTTCTCTCTCCCTCCTCTTTGGGGATCTTTTGGCTTTCCCATTCACTCTGTTCCTTGTACCTAAGCTAAAGATTCCTCTAGCACCCCAAAATCCGGTGAGATTTGCTCATCAAATGGGTTACTAGCAGAATGGGTTTGGTGTGAAAGTGGAGATAGTGCTGAACTTGGGGGGAATATGAAGTTGGCAGCTTAAATGCTGTTTAAACCCAGCCCACTGAGTCCAAGAGCACCTGAGGGTCACAGCTTGGCTCTGCTGCGCATCTCAGACAACTGAGTCCAGGGACATATAAGGGGTCCGCTTGTGAGTGCTGATTAGCCAGTCCTCTCAGACGTGCTTTGGTAATGGGTGTGACTGTGTGTGTGTTCATCTGTGTGTGTGTTCATCTAGGGTAGGAAGAACCCTATCCGGGGGAACCTAGATCCTTCAGAACAGCCGCATTGGGAGGGAACTGGCAGAAGGGAGAAGTAAAGCTCCACATGACTGATAGAATCACCACGCTCATCCCTCAGAAGAGTAACCCTAATAAATGAGCATATTCCAAAGTAATGGGCAGATCTGATAAATTGGTGGAGAACTTGTTGAGTAGTTGCTTCAGAGTGGGGAAACTGAGGCTAAAACCTGAGCAAATTCTCTCTCTTCCTTTTTAGCCTAAGCTCCTTAGTGACATCTCTCTATCTTTCGCACAGAATATTTGGTAAAGTCCTGTAAGGTTTAAGTTAAGAATTGTGCTTTGAATCCCCATAGAACTGTGCAATAAGGAGTTAAATGTTGTGCCTTAAAAGTAAAGATGTTAAAGCTATATTGAGACTGCGTGAGTAAAGATGACTAGTGAAATAAGGGAAGTAGAGATGGCTGAGAAATCCCCTTTGGCTGCTCGCTTGAGACAGGAAAAAGACAACTGGTTAGAGAGGTGGTAATGAAGAAGGGGAAGTGCCCATGGGAAAAAAGGTGCTTTAAGAGTGAAAATCCCTGACTGAAGCAACTCTGGGCTTTGAACAATATTGCACAACCATTAAGCCATGAGGTAGTGCACAGGATGCGGCTGCTGCATGGACATTGTTTTATGCATGTCTGGACATGGTTGAAATGGTAAAGGGAAGGCAGGAATTGGAGCTGGACAGAATGCAGTTACAACAGCTTTTAAACAAATGTGAGACTGATGGATGTGAATTTAAGCAGAAAAACTTAAAATGGTGACTGTCCTTGGAAATATGCAAGAGGAGAGGGACAAGGCCAACAGGGATGCATATCAATACAGGAAAGTGTTAACCCACACAAACATTTTGTTAGAGGAAGCAAGAGCAGCAACTTGCTTCCTAGCAGATGGAAATAAAGCAGCTAAGGCAGCAGCAGGCCACCAGAAGTGTGAGGCAGAGATTAGTAAATTGCTGGTAGCGGCTGTAAAAATAAGAGAATTGCAATTGGGAGCTCCCTGGAAGAACAGCGATACCGCCGGATGCTCACCCCAATTGGTCACAAATGCACAGTGTTGCCCCTATTTCCACAAGGGAGGTTAAACACACAGTTGCAGGAGCCGATCTTTCCACAATAGAGCTGGTCACAGATGTAATAAGATGGTCTCCCAGTCAGGCCAAGGCTATTGCCAAGAGACTGGGACCACTGAACTGTGACGCAGCCCGTGGCATTGCTGGCTCACATTTGGCAATGTACCTTTCTGCTGATGACATGGACCTAACCCAGTTGGCTCAGTTATGTGCTCCTCCTTGTGATGCAGATCTCTGGACATAAGCATAGGTTCTTAGGAGCAGACTGCCCCTGGGCTCTGGTAATGGATTATAAGTGCTCTCAAAATATTACTGCCTGCTTCTTTTCTCAAGAAGAGCAGAAACCAACAGAAGCCCCTGAAACTTACCTAATTCAAAAAAAGATGCTGGCATTTCTCTCTGAGGGTATGTCTACACTGCTGATTTTTTTCAGAAAAACGGCCATTTTTCTGAAAAAACTTCAATTACGTC